TTAAATTACTTAAATATTCTTTCCTACACATAGTAAAACATTAAAATCTAAAAATATTCATAACAAGCAGTTTTTGGAGTAACCACAAGCGCTTTTTAAGCGCCTTTTTTTTTCTTTATCTGCAATTTTAAGTGAATTGTAATACTTGCTTAACATATTTTGCATTTTCTGATTTCTGTGCATTTTTTAAATGAAATCATCCAAGAATCACTCCAAACGAAAGAAGAAAACTAACTCAAGCTCTTCTAGCATCTCAATAACCTCTCCGCTTGAAAAGAAAGCTAAGGAAAAGGAGTGCTCTAACGATGAGGTATTCCAAGCCCTCGATATGGCCGGCCATGTTGCTGCTAAGTTGGACGATATAACATCAAAGTTAGACAGACTGAAGTCAATAGAAGAAACTATACACAACGTTGCTGGATCAATTAAAGCTCTCGAGCAAAAAATTGAGAAAGTTGAACAGAATGTCAAAGAAGTAAAACAGGAGCAGCAGGTTATGGACAAAAGTCTTGAAACAATGAACAACGAAATTCAACAGCTCAAAAACGACAGGAAAAGAGACGAATTTGAATATTACGGATTCCAGGAAGAAATAAAGTCTGAGCTGAACAATCTTAAAACGAAATTATTGTACGCAGAAGCATATTCAAGACGMGAAAATCTTAAATTTATTGGCATTCCAGAACTAGATGACGAAGACACMRAAAAGGTTYTACTCAACTTTATCGACAATCATCTGGAGATTGAAAGTAGCCCTATAGAATTCCAGCGAGTACACAGAAATGGTAGAAAAAAACAAGATGCGCCAAGAACAATTATCGCAAGGTTTCTACGCTACCAAGATGTTGAAACGATTCTTCGACAGGCGAAGCTCCTAAAGAATACCCCCTTCGTTATTTACCAAGACCTTCCCAAAGAAATTTTGGACGAGCGTAAAAAGTTAATGGGGGCTCTTAAAGAATCCAAAAGACGTGGTATGAAGGCCCGATTTAGCAAAGCAGAGCCTGATAGATTATATATCGATGGGCAGTTGTATCTTACAGGAAAAACGAATCTATTTAGCTTCAACGCACCATAAGATATAATGAAGTTTACTCGGAATCTAAATATTAATAGTATGTTATGTTGCTGTTTATACTCTTAAGTTAAGGACTTTAAATTTAGGATGATTCAGTAAATAGAATTTATATCACTACTACTAGGGATGTTGTTTCTGAATTAAGTTTTATTTTAAAAGGAAAGATTTTGAGTATTTCTCTTAGCTCTTGGAGCCTTATAAAATACGGCTAAGATAAACAAATGCAAAAGCCCATTCATGTGCAAGCACAAATTTAGCTTTATGTAGTATTTTTGTTTGTTATTCGTCAATTGTTTAGCGAGATCTTGATGTTGCATAGCTCCGTGTCATTAATATTCCTGTTATTACTTTTTTCGTGTAACTTAAAATGAATGTTTATAATTTTTCCATACTGTCAATTAATGTCCGTGGCCTCAGGGAATATAAAAAGAATAGAAAAATTTTCAATTGGCTTACAAAACACAATAGTGAGTACGGTATCTCATTTTTGCAAGAAACACACAGTACCAAAGAAACAGAAAMGGAATGGTCTCTGAGAACTAGGAATGAACTTTTAATGTCACACCTAACGCCAAGGAGTAAAGAAACGCCGATTATGTTAGGAAGTAAGTTAAACTACGTAATTAGAGACAAAATAATCGATTCACAAGGAAGATTTGTTATCGCATTAGTAGAAATTCAAGGTAGTTCTTTTCTCTTAATCAACTCTTATTTGCCAAACAATGAGTATGAACAAGTTCAAGTGATGTCCACTATTATGAACAATATTAATAACATGGTTATTACACTGGAAACGGTCGCTGTTTGGGGAGGGGACTTCAATTTTATCTTTAATAAAGAACTCGAAGCCAGTGGCGGAAATCCCAAACTAAAATTAAAGTCGATAGAATGTATAGAAGCCATTATGCAGGATTCCGATTTATGCGATATTTGGAGGTTAAGAAATCCTGATTCTAAAAGATTTACTTGGAAAGGAATAGGGCAGGGCTCAGCCAGTAGACCTAACCAAATGATTCATCGCAGGTTGGACTATTTCTTTATATCAGATGAACTTCAACCTTTTATCATGAAAAGTGATATTATTCCAGCCCCATCAACCGATCACTCTGCTATTACTATTAAATTGCAGTCTTTTGAGGGAGAAACTAGAGGACCTTCATTTTGGAAATTTAATAATGCTTTATTGGCGAACGAAGGATATGTCCAAGGTTTGAGAAGTCATATAAAATCGGTCAAGACACAATTGTATGTTCAAAACATTYGTGACCATCAGCAAAGTTGGGAGCTATTAAAATATGAAATAAGGAAATTTTCAATACACTTTTCAAAACAAAATGCTAAGAAAAGAAGACATTGCTACATACAAATCGAGGAGGAAATTAACAAGATTGAAAACCAATTTGGCTGGGAGAMTAACGATGATATGACAAGCAAGCATGATATGTTAACCAAAAAATTAGAGGAGATGAGCAACTATGTAACCGAAGGTATCATAATAAGATAATAAGAAATTGAAATGTAAAGCTGCTAATATTGTCATGTTATAAATAACAAAAACGAAGTGTATGATTTTAGTCTTATATTTCTATTCATTTGTTTATAGGAAATGCATGAAAGAAAGGCAGCATAAGATAACATCACCTGTTACAAGAAATACTTCAATTATTTACATCTAGCAAACAGATAAATTATATAATACTACATCGTATTATAGTGCAGACATTTCACTTAGTACCCCTCAAATGAAATAAAAGAATATATTTGGCCGGTGACAAATTGATAATGAACTGATCAAAATAATCAGCCTATCTATTGGATTAAATTTCATAATATAAGCTTTGTAAAAATCGTAAGATGAAGAATCTAAAGAATCAAGATTATATTGAAATTATTGAGAATAGTTGCTCTGTTTATTAATTTTTATTCTTCGATTATAGTTATTATTATAAGAAAAGCATGTAAGTAATGGGATCAGCTAATTCCTCATATGATTATGTGTAACTATAATAAATTTATTGATGATCGAGTTAGTCAACAAATGTCAAGCTATAAATTCTATGACTGTGTTCACTGCCTATTGTSGYTSTCTCTTCATARYCCYAGRTTGTTDGGATCAAACCCTTTTCCAATTTATGTCTTTAATATCCCCATCAAAGTAAGAAAACTTTTGACTCCTTCGATCAAACACCTAAGAATCCGTTGAAATTGGTGCGGTGCAATCGCACATTAATCGCTTCCACTTTTCCAAATCAGACTTGTTACTCGGTGATTTGTGCACTGATAGTCCTGTCTTGAGATTGATTATCTTTCTACAGCCCAAAACTAAGCAACGCCACAACATTTTAACGATAAAKTCTTGTTTCTAGTAAGTATTTGCCTCGTTAATTCCCTATGTGTTGGACCTATGACGTCATTGGTCCAACTAGACCCATTCTCCTGAGCGAAATCGATGATCAGAGAAAATAATGCCGTACGAAAACTAAATCGTAAATATGTCATAATTCCCATACTTGAAATATCGAAATGAAACTTTACAGAGTGATTTCTTGTTTATTTATCTTTATGTTGAGAAAGTTTCAGYGRMTWAGACGTAATATTGCAGGTTTTTCAAAACGACCATACATTACGTCCAAGTACCCCTTTAAAAATGTTAAGAATATTTCAATGAAAAGGTTGTACTACTATACACCGAGTGACCTGAGTATTTTAAAAGAATGTTGTTGCAGTTCTCCACTGCAACATATTTGACATTCTAGATATAAAAGAACAAATCACAAACCTGTATCTTTTTTTTTCAGTTTAATTTTGAATATATCAGTATATTAATATATAATCAGTCACTTGATATTTGGAACAATTACAACATCTTTTCAGGTGGAAAACCTTATTTCGAGATAAGCTGTACATGAAAAAAATAATAAATTGCGGTATACCTCAGTTTGTCATAATGCAGCTCATGTTTCTTCTTACCAAGCAGGTCGATAATTGTTATTGCTGAATTTTGGGAGTCGACAACCTGCATTGTTGTATAAAGGTTAGACAAACCATGAGAAACACGCCAAAACCATTTTTCATTAATCCTTCATATATTTAATTTTCATGTCGACCATAATAGTGAAGTGAATGTTGAAGTACTGATCACTCCCCCGGTCCCTGGCACCTTTTTTCATTTCTATTTCAAATGATAACTAGACGTACATACCCCAAGATTCCAATAGTTTTTTGATCCAAATTGACTTGGGAACACCAGCTTATTGAATTTTGAAAGGCCAAGCTGCAAATTTTGAAAAAAAAGTGAAGTAATGGATTGATTATATATGAGTCAAGTATCTTGGCAATTACCTTTCTTCTCCAGTTTTTGTCTCTAACCACAATATTATAAAATTTTGTGTTTGCGGTAATTATCTTTATAATATTATCTTGAATATTTGGACCGGACATGTTGCGACCAGTCATCTACAGTACACAATGATCTACAATTTCAGCCAGTTCAATCATCTATATCTACTCTCTTTTGCGCCATCTTTTCTAGAATTTTCATGTATTCGTCTATAACCTTAAATAGAACATATTTTTGAGATTTGTATGAAAATAATCATCAAGAAAAAAATGGTTGAAACATAATGATTGTGTTTAGCGTGATGAATACATTACAAATATGGCATATATGTACCTCATCAATTACATAGCCCACTTCCCATCCGGATTCAGACATGCCGAGAGTGATTTTCATTTGCGTCTCTTGAACTTCCAGCATGTCCAATTGTAGCGTCTTGAAATCCTTCCAGGAGACTGGGCCAATTTTCCAATACGGAGTACCCGTCTCTTCCCATACTGATTCAATCTGTATGAATAGAAATATTCTAAATATATTCTGAAAACGAAAGCGAGCAAAATATCACCGGTTATATATATTTGATCTCTTTTTACTACGTTGATGCCACAAACCGTCGATACGAAAGTATTGATTTCAAAGTTTCGAGGCAATTTACAGGAATTGATATTCAAAATCAAAGACGGAAAAAAATTAATCATGACCTACCTTCATTTTACGTTCTATTTTAATCAGGTTTTGGCAGCATTCCTCGAAGGCTTCCTGAAAAGCCCCTTCATCAAAACTAAAAATATTTTCTTCTACTCTAGCTGTTAGACCTGACGCAAATATCTGGTGGTCATAGACGTCTTCTTTTTCAATTTTTTTAGGCCAGATGTAACCTCTTCCACCCTTTACCTTTTGTAGAAAGTTCACTTCACTTCACTTAAGTTTTATTGTGCTACCTTTTGAGAACAAAAAATAAATTGCACAGCGCATGAGGTTTGATGCATATTACAATATTATAATATTTGATTACTGTCGTGTTGTTATTAATTTAACAAATTGAATGTGATGATTACTTTGTTCGATAATGTTCTGTGNAAAGCCCCTTCATCAAAACTAAAAATATTTTCTTCTACTCTAGCTGTTAGACCTGACGCAAATATCTGGTGGTCATAGACGTCTTCTTTTTCAATTTTTTTAGGCCAGATGTAACCTCTTCCACCCTTTACCTTTTGCAGAAAGTTGACCGATACTAACTGGTCTTCCCGGTCAACAATCTGCCCAAGATAAAAGGTCGAGCATCCAGGCTTTTTAGAAGTGTAGCAAACCGCCACAAACTCAGTCTATAAACAAATTCAAAAACACCAATTATATAAAATGTCATAATTTTTTTTCATATGATTTTTGTTTGATTGTTAATGTCATCGTTATTGTTGTTCTAATAATCGTCAATGATGATCATTAAGTCTTTTCTTATATCTGTATAATCGATCGCTATTTATTATCAGTCAGTCACCTTGGGTTTATCAGCACAACTCTCCTCCTTAGGAGTAGATTGATCGACGTTTTTCGGCAGTTTCTACAAAATCATATTGAAATAGTTGCAAAAAAATGTGAGCTCTAAAGCCATTGCTAAAAATTAGGCTATTTATAATTTTGCACTGTTAAATGCACCTTTCTTTTTTCAACTGCTTCTTTGTCGTCGCTTGTCTCTTCCCGTAGGCGTTTCTTTCTATTTGGAGATTGTGAATTATCACCCAAAATATCAAACGTATCCTTTAAATAACAACAAATCTGTTAGAGTGCAAACCTTAAAAATTTTACCAATCAATATTGCTTAACTGTACTGGATTGGGAAAATTTCTTTATTTCTACACTTATCATACCTCCTGAACGTTTCTAGAAGATTGTGCTTTGGCCGATGGCTCACTCTAGAAAATAATAACCATCGTGATTACGTGTTTGGCTAGTAATTTCGCGAGCGCTATTTGCAACAAGAAAAATATTTCCGTTTCTCGTATAATAACCCGCTCATGTGCTATGTACAGTCCACACACCTTCCGTACGTAATCAATGTCGGACGGATAGTCGCACTCTTCCATTGTTAGCTTCCATCCTGATGATAACTGTATACAGAGTGGAGAAAATGAAACATTTGCATTAAAGGAAAAAAACTGCCTAATTTACTTTTTGGTCTCAGTTCAACGTTCTTTTTGTTTAATTAGGTGTATCTAGTATGGAACGATCATATTTCTCAATTACTGAATAATATAAAGTATTTCAATTTACTTTTATGTGCATTGATATAGTAAACAGAATATTGCTTGGAGATACGAAATTCGCATTCTCCTCACTCGTTCGCTACGTCCACTTGTGAGAGGTCTTTTTATGTGTTTTAGATTCGCATTAAAGTAAACTCACTTGTAAACTCCTTGATTCTGTGAGTATATTAGAGTGTCCACACCTAACAACCGCAAGGTCAACATTGTACTTTGTAACCTGAATGCAACGGGAATCTTCTCAATTAAAAAAAAACAATTAGATACGCAATTCAGATCAATTTGATATTTACTGTAGTAGTGCTGCTGGCTTCCAAAGGATCACTTTTTTTCTGCAAAAAGAAAGAGAAAACAAGTAAATATAAATGCACTGACATCTCTACATATTTAATCATTATTTATATTAGCATTGTGATAGCACGATACGTTCAATGCACGCATTATTTGGATTTTATCTATACCTTTTTCTTCACTTCCGGTTCCAAGGATACGGAATTCGCCTTGAGAAACTCATTCTTCCAGTCCAAGATTTCTTCTTTTTGAGTCTCAATGACCTTGAATCGTAAACAAATCTTTAGGGTCTTTATTTTCTTGTTATTAGTTACTGTTCCAAAAGGGGACTGACCTTCAGACAGTCCTTTCTTTTAATGTGCTCTTCATGCACAATCCGTTCAATATTTTTTTCGAGTTCGCTGACTTTAACAAGGGCCTGTGAAGGCAAAATATTCGTTTTTTGACATTTTATCTGTTTTCGGTTTGTATGAGTTTAGCCTTAGAGCCTGTTAAACTTTAGATGGTATCGTGATCAGGCTATTTGTTCTTGCGTGTTTTGCGAATTGATCTACTGATATAATAGATAACGTTGATTTTGTCTCTTAAGATGATACTTACTTTACTGAGGTCCGCTCTAAGACCGGAAATTGTCCCATTTAGGTCGGCAATTGTTCTTAAATGCTGTGATGCATTTCTCTGAAAAGACAAAATTACATAATTGTTTCAAACCAGTATTTTTCTTACTCGGCGCGTGTGCCATTACAAGATGAATTCCCACCTCACGATGTAGGGTTTTTTCGAGTTCGCCAACTCTTCTCAGCTGAATTGAAAAGTAGAATAATATTTTATTGTTACTACAAGTCAAACTACATTTCGTGAATATTAGAAATCAGGGATTGAAGCAGTAACTCAATACCAAAATCTCATTTTCTTCTTCCTTTTCTTTCATCCACTGCTCTGGATCCTCTTGCATCATATTCTGTTTTTGGGCTTATGTCTAGTACAAATTCAATCATCTTACAAAAATGAACTTTCTGTAAAAATAATACTCTCGTATTTATCTTCGATTTTGCGGCGTTATTCAACGATGCGAGCGTTTGGGGTTTTTCCAAAACACTGGTTAAGTTTTGAAAATTTCATTTTTGCTGGTGGTGGAATAAAGCCATTTTAGCGTCTAAACTGTAACAGGGCATTTTGCATCTATTTGCACGAGCTTTTCCCAACATCTGCTCGAGAATTTTGCTGCCCAGACATGTTTTCTGAAATCCTGTGAGTTACCAGAATATGAAGACGTCAATCAACGGATGCATGATGCAAATGTTAGTGTGCAAGAAATGAATCGCAAAGAAACTTACGTCAAGTCGTCCATATCTCAATTCGACGTACTATTTAAATGTCCTGTCGAAGTTTTTGTCGGCCCCAAGCGGCGGTATCTCTGTAACCTCAGGCGATAAAAGTTCGAACATCTTCCTTCTGAACTCAGATGCCACAGACATAAATGTTCTCTTAGGCACCTGATATTCAGACGAATGCTCTTCGCCTTGGGTGCGTATGCCAACTGAAGCTTTAATTGGGAGGAAATTCGAATTTTGCAACATCTCTCAAGTAGAAAAAGAAAAACAAGTGCCTGTTCAGGAGAAATTGTTCTTCATATGTATGCATACAAGGTTGTTAGATAACAATCGCATGTAAAATGAGCACTGAAAGGTCGGAATCACTTTGAGGTAAATACAGGTCACGATTCATGACTTGCCCCGCGTGTTGTTATAGTAACCTATTAAAAATAAAGATGTGTAGATTTTAAGTGTGGAATGTTGTCAAAATTAAGAGGAACTCATTTCAATTAAGAGGAACTCATTTCAATCGATTTGATAAATCCAGACTCCACTTGTCAATAATTAAGACAAGCGACACACCTCTTCAGGAAGCGTTCTGTTATCTTTTGAACAACATAGTGGCTAGTAATGAAGGAATGATAGATAAAATCTCGAAAAATGTACACACATCACGAATACTGAATATTCTCGTTAGCTTTTTATAGAGTCACGTTATGTAATGTCACACTCAAATACTGTCGTACTGTATTGCGCTTCAGCATCGATGCGTAGAATAGTTGTTTTATAACGCGTTTATAAAATTCCTTCGAGTTGGAAGTAAAACAAAGTTTTGAAATCTCGTTCTGGTGCATGCCGATCTGCAATTGCTTCCTCAYGTAATGGTCATCGTTAATTTATAAAAAAATCCATGATATGATTGATCGCTTTGCCGTTATGAGTGTCTCTATAATTCCGTATTTCAATTGTTACAGACATGATGTTCAACGGTTATCGCATTTCATTTTCACACACAAAATAAACGAAATCGCTTCAAAATGATGTAAGATTTCTCTGTACGTAGGAGTCATATTCGATTAAAGACTGCTTCTTCTATGTGATTTATGTTATGATCCGAAAGCTCGGAAATAAAACATAAATCATGTAGAAGAAGCAGTCTTTTGTCGAACTTCAAAATGCTTCAGCTGCAAGTTTTGGCGCTATATGCTGAACACGGCACACTAGCAACGTGGGATATTTTTGGTACAAGACATATTTGCATTGACAAGTCGTCTGCTTGTTATGCCGGTATAAAATACGTTACATCGAAATCTGTGATCATCGCATGTCATTGGTTGAAATGGGTTCCTATCACGAACTCGTAGATAAATCTGATTGGTTCATTTCCTTCTTCATTCCGAAAATACATTAAAATTTAGTTAATTATTGTTACAATCGTGCGATATGTAACTAGTCAGATCTCTAARTATTAAGTGCTTGTGTTGTTAATTGTCACCTTCAGTAATTTTTCCCTAAAAACAGAAATCGCTCTTGTGTATAAATGTTTACTGATCTGCCAATGCTTTTCGTAATGGTTTATTTTTGGGGTCGTTATTTTGGCTTCACGAACAGAGATATCTAAGTTGGAATATGATTGGTTTAGTTGCGTGCTCATTCCGAACATCAATCGAACTTGAGATCATTTAACGGATACTCGTCATTATGAAGATATTTCAGTAACCAATTATTGTAAACCTTTTGAATCTGTCAAGTATGAAATAAAACAAGTTTGAAATCTCGTTCTTGTGCATGCCGATCTACCATCGCTTCCTCACGTAATGGTCATCGTTAGTTTATAAAAAATCCATGATATGATTGATCGTTTTGCCGTTCGCGTTTGGTAGGGTTAGCGTGCTATTAGATGAGTGTATAAACGTTTAC